GGGTTTGGGGTTCAGGCTTAGGGTTTGGGATTTAGGGCTTAGGGTTGATCTAAGGGCTTTAGGAGGGACCCTTAATAGGGACCCTTGTAGGTTCTTGGTGTTAATATGGAGACTACCTGGCTATATAAGGGGTATATAAGGACTATACAATGGCTATTTAAGGTAATGGGATTAAGGGTCCCTATTAGGGGTCCCTCCTAAAGTCCTTAGACTGATGTTAAGGGTATTGGGCCGGTATTGGGCTCTCTGGGCCCTACTGGGTCTAGACAAGGGTTTAGGGAGGTTTTAGGATTTCACAGTGTCATTTCGCATGTGCTCTCCTAATCAGGGCTGTTATCAGGGTTAAGGGTTTCCGAATGCAGGGTTTAGGGTGCCATGCAGAAAGTACCGAATGAGGGATGTGCACCTCCCATTGAGGACCCTTCTTCTTCTTCAACCTCTGGTATGCTATAAAACATGTACAAAGGTTTAGGGTTTAGGGTTTTAGGGTTTAGTCTCCCTGGCTCACAAAAGCTTAATCACCTTGCAACCAGAGTAGAAATGCGGCTTATGAGTTGTCAAAAGTGAAGTGAGTATACCTAATGAATACATATAGATATATACACACATGCAGGTATATACACATCAAAACTCTCTGTGTGTGTATCTGCTTGTTTTACACATATACATGCCCAAGGATGTAATAGGATACCTATTCCGCTACAAGGGGAGCCGGAGCCTCTTGGTCGCTTAGATGTTGTGCGATTCTGTTATGCTCTGATGGTCGAGTGTCTACAGGGGTTTAGGGTTTAGGGTTTGGGGTGCGATTCTGTCATGCTCTGATGGTCGGGTGTCTACAGGGGTTTAGGGTTTAGGATTTGGGATTAAGGGTGCGATTCTGTTCTGCTCTGATGGTCGGGTGTCTACAGGGGTTTTGCGGTTGATGGGTAATCGTACACAAGTTTCCAAGTGCCTCAACCGGGGTTAGACATAAAAAAGCAGATCCATAGCTTCAGTTGCCTGATCTGCAACCCTATGTATCAAGTCCGTTGATCCCGCAAGCAAGGTTTGAGGTAACAGATGATCATGAAGCTTACACCCCTAAAACCCTAAACCCCTGAACCCTATACCCTGAACCCCTAAGCCCTACACCCCTAAACCCTATCTACGTACTTTCGAAAATCAACATGATCGTCTGCTCTGCAGCAGGCTTGACCTTAAACCCTGGGCCCAACAACACAAACCCCACACGAGCTGCCAGAAGCTGGACTGGCATTATCCACATGCCCTGAAAGCATAATTGCCCAGGGGCTGAGGAGAATGATTCAAGTTACCATGGTAGGGCTATGGTGGGGGTATTCCGTACGTGCTGCGGCGTCCTTTTATCAGAACAACCCAGACGAAGCTTCGAAATGAAGCATAACTCAATGCCCTAAACTTCCCAAACCCTGAACCCACGAGCCCGATAGCCCTTCGTTACTTTCACTAGGTTCCCCAATAACCCCTTAATAATGAGGGTACCCTTATTCCTACTATTTNNCCCCCCCCCCCCCAACAAAAAAAGGCAAAAGGGGAACCCAGTTCAATCCTAATAGACCTCCTCGAGTAGCTCCTATCACCTGTATAGAACCCCTGAACTTCCCTAAGCCCTAAGCCGCGTGTTAGGGTTCGGAGGTTAGTTTAGGATTTAGGGTTT